CCTTTCTGATGAAGACAAGCTAAACAATGCTAAGTAAGCTTTTATGGTTTATGTTAGAACATAGCGACTTTTTAATTTCTTAAATCCTTACAGGTAAGGGTACTATGTTCTTAAAATTCACGTTTTTAAGTACACTTTGTGTAGGAAATATGATGTAAGACTCATAAAAACGTAACCTTTTTTGTGAAGTTAAATCTTATCAAGATATTTTGTTCTTTTGTTAACATATATTAAGTGAAAACACAGTAGATTAACATACCATGATATCTTTCTTGTCTTTTCAAGATATGCCATTTCAGTTGCTCGAAAGATCGGTGCCCGGATATATGCCTTACCTGATGACCTCGTGGAGGTGAAACCAAGGATGGTTATGACGGTGTTTGCCTGCTTAATGGGGAAAGGACTGAACAGAATAAAATAGACATTAAATATGATTTCCTGCCACATTAAACATATTGAATGCCTCACAGTTTACAGATTTCTGAAATGTAGTGGGTATAAAACCAGAGATTATTTGTATGCTCAAAACAGTTGTAAAATTCACTAATGAGTTCAATATCCTGTTCATACTAGAGTTTGTTGACCTTTTTGGATAACACAATTACTTTACTAGTAGATACTGATAGTGGAATATGTTCATCATCAAAGTGATATTTCATAATAAAATTAATCTCATTTCTTGAAAGTCTCAGTAGAACAAGACTAATTTCTTCTTTTTCATGGTTTAAAATAGACCAATACAATTTTTGCAAGTCCTACTGTGTTTTGATTTGTGTGTGTATCTATTAATTTTGATTATAAAAGTATTCAAAGTCATAATTCAGTTTAATCCCTGTTTTTTTCCCTCTATGTGCAGTGGTTTAAAACTTCAACTTTTCTGTAAATTTCTGTATTATCTAAAACTTTTAAGTGACAAGTATTTCCTTTAATATTAAATATTTTACTCATGAGTACTAACTCCCGAATAAACCCCAAAGTTCATTCTCTTATGTAAGAAGCCAGAGCTTTTTTAGTTAAAACATAATTTTAACTGCATTGATACTTTACATATGCAAGCTGGGTATGACAGGCAGCACATATATGTTGGTAGGATGTCACTAGAGAAATGTGTGTATACATATTTTTTTTCACCTGAATTACCTGGGTTTTCTTAAACAGCATGTGTAGTTGGTAAGTCAGCCAATTATTTATTGTGACCCCCACCCCATGTATACTTTTCAGTTTGTAGATATTTGGTACATGAAAATTTCTTTTAGAAGTACTCATTTTTGATGTGCATATATTTTTTGACTGACTTCTTCCAAATATTTATAGCCAAACATTGGCTAGATAATTTCAAGATGTGTTGACACTATAATGTTAGCTTCGTATCACAGATGCTAATTTTGATTTATACTGAAGCCCCAAATAACTTAGAACATGCCCACTGAATTTCCTTAGCAGAAAGCTACTATTTAAAATAGAGTATTTTCACTTGTTTTTTTCCACAGCCTCCTACAAGATGGCAATGTTTGGTTAATGCGTGTGTTACCTGAGACCTATTTTTGTCTATTTTTTAGCAGTAGAGAGATTCTTTGCTAACAATTGAATTCAGAAGTCCACTTCATTCATCTTCCACTATTAGTGCCAGTGAAACTGCTGTGCATCAAAAAAGCTGTCACTTCGTGTGAGTGTGAATGAGAGGTCTAACTCTCCTTTTTACCACTCATTAAAAGGTATATTTCAATACGAGTGGAACTGCTCATGTGTTTAGAATAGAATTTTTAACTGAAGTTAGCAACAGGTGGGACTATGAAATATATTCTTCTACAAGAGAGATTTCCTTTCCTTTTATATTTTGATGATTGTTTTCTTATAAGACAATTAAGATATATTCCTGCTCTTTTGTGAAATTATTTAAATCATATTTTTCCTTCTCATCGTTTCACCATTATATTTATTAAGTTATCTGATTTATGTGAAATTTAACACTTTAGTGTGTTCTTTTTCTCACAATGTATATTTAATAAAAACTCTGTGTATGTACAAATGTGTATTTATTTCATTTAAAGAAAAATATAACAACTGTGAAAATTTATCTTTCACAAGGTAATTTTCCAGAAAAGAAAAACCAAAATAATTAGTAAAACAAAATTCCTAATTACTAGTTAATAAAACTAATTGTTAAACTAATTATTAAAACAAAAAATTATATTGTTGTATTTTGCCATGTATAATGTGCACCCATGTTTTTGGCCCAAACTTTCAGGATAAAAATCTTTTGTTTTAATTCAATTATTTATTTATTTATATTTAGATAGTTGCTTTTTGTATTAGAAAGGAATTTTAGCATTTATTTCTGAACACATCATGGTATGAGAAATTTTTGCCTTCTAGAGTTACACTTTTAACACATAACAGATACAGAATTAGTACTACCCATGTATAATGCACATCCTTATATTTCCCTCCAAAATTTGGACAAAAATGTGCACATTATACATGGCAAAATAGTTAGGGAGAAAAGTGGTTCTATGGTCTTTTTTAAGAAAATTCTCACCTGAGGATGTGGTTATTGATTTTAAAGAAAGGAGTGAGAGAGAAACATCTGTCAGTTACCTCCCACATGCACCCCAACTGGGGATGGAACCTGCAACCTCTTGGTATATGGTACCATGTTCCAACCAGCTGAGTTACCAGGCCAGGGCAGTTCTCTGGTCTTTTAACACGAACAATTTTAGTAAAGACCAAATGCATATTATTACACATTTAGTTTGTGCTGAAGTAATTTTGTTGAATCAGCCAATTCAATAACATAAATTTGTCTTTGCGAACCAGGTATGATGTTAGCATGTGGAGATCCAGCAGAGAAAAAAATAGTTTCATGATTTCATGAATCTTATGTCCATGGGAAGAGAGACATGGTAAACAAATGGGAATTTTAGGCAGTGAAAAAAACAGTGGGAAAAACAAACAGTAATGTGATAGAGACTGACTTGGGAACTGGGGTGAAGATTATTTTAGTTTGGGTGGTCAGGGAAGGTCTGTCTAAGGATGTGATTTTTGGACCATATGAATGATGAGGAGCTAGGTGTAAGTGTTCAGCAGAGGGAACAAGTGAAAGGCTCTGAAACTGGAAGAGGCTTGTAGGCATTTTAGGAAAAGAACTGGGCAAATTGGCCTAGTAGTAGTGAAGGAGAGGTAGGGAGTTTGGAGATGTAGACAGTCTGTTATTTATAGGAGTAGATCAGAATCTGGGTTTTCTCTCAACTGGAATTGGAGATCGCTCTTCTTTTGTATACTTTGGTAAGTTGCTCTGAGTAATGTGCTACTTCTGAATCTTGCATTCCATCATTCATTATAACTCCGTCATTGGTCTCCACATCACAGATGCAAAATAAACATCATGTAGGGGATGTTAAAATACTCCCACTTTGTGCTAGATAAAGAATGTGCCAGAGAAGCACAAGAGAATCCTCTGCATTTGAGTTGATTCCGAGACTTCTGAGTAACAGGATGCACTTGCAGCACAGGCTTACTTTGAAGGAAGAAAACCCCTCTAATACTTTGGAATGCTTCGTAAGTTCATCCAGTAACAAAGGGTTTAATTCTCATGAATTTAAGAAGTAAACCCAGTAACACGAAGTTCTATGGGACTTAACTAAACCGAGAAGCTTGCGTAGACTTAAAAGTGATATGTATAGCTCTGTGCCATCTGAATTTTTACCTTCAAACCCTCAAATTTTTGGATGGGGCTTGGTTAGAGTGGTTCTGCTGAGTAAAAGTTTTACTGTATGAGCTCACACACATAAACCAAAATATGTAGCACTGCATTCACTGGCCAAAAACTTAAAATGAGCAATTTGACATTCCAGCAAAGACACAAACTTGGAACTGACATTATGGAATGGGGGACATATATGACCTATTACAGATTTTTTTAAAAGGCTAAAATGATTCAATAGATAATCTACTATTTTGAAGTAAACTCATGAAAATGTTTGGAAAGGTGGGCAATCCTGTCTACCAAGGCCTCTTAGAGGAGATCTAAAGAAGAGTTTGAATGGTGAGAAAGATAAGGAATTTGGGAGTTGGTGTTGGTAGGGACAGGATGGAACAACCCAATCTGAACAGAACAAGATGTATTTCACTCAAATACAAGATTCTTGGAAGTAAATTTATGTGTTGCTTTACAAACCTGAAGCCTTGAAGGTACAATTTTTGTATGGTTGGTTGCAGGAAGCAGAATTAATTATTCAAGCCAAATAATTTCCAGGACACCCCCACCCCCCAGGTTTTAAAGGTGGAGGAATCAGCTTTAGATAAAAGCTTGAGTAAGAAAATAAATTATTCAAGGAAGTAGCATATCTGTGCTTCAGTTAGCTTTTGCCTAAATAGTACTCATCTTTTAAAATTAGATTTATAAATGTGAAGATGAAACCACTGAAGGGCTGTGATGCAGAGTGGATCCTAAAAAAGTGCTTGCCCATGGTTACATGTCAATAGCCCTGAGTTACATGCAAGTAAATGTATGGCATCAGGAATGCTACGAGTGGTTCTAATCACAAACGAGTTGTTAAAACAGGAGTCTTAAGAAATGCGGTGTCTAGCCCAGTATAAGTACACCAAACACTTCTGGCCTGTTGGCAAGGCAGAGGACACAGGAATGTGAAATCTGACAATTCCACAAGCGGGTTCAACTGACCGTACCTCGTCAGCGACTCAACGAGCCACACCGCTGCGTATTTACTACTGTGCTGCAGGGAACAGCTGGGAGATCTCTTGGGCTCAGAGAGAAGTCCGGGTTGTGCGCCTCCTTCTAGGAGGCAGCTGTCTGGCACTGGGCAGCATCTAGGAGCAGGGCGGGGCAGGGCGGGGCAGCCGAGGCCACGCCCCATCGGCAGGCCCTGCCTACCGCCCACCCCACTGCAGGCTCCGCCCAGTGTCACAGCCGACGCGTAGCGGAAGATGACGTGAGGAGAGTCTCGAGCATCTCTCCGGGGACGCAGCTCCGCCTGAGGTTCTCACAGATCTGGACCTCGACGTTCACAGTCACTTCTTGGAGCTTGTCACCCACTGCTCTCCCGTCCTCTGCCTGGACCGGGCCGCCACCGTGCGGCCCCTGCGGCTCCTGGCACGGCCCCGCGCTCAGCTGCCGCCCTGGCGCCCGCCACTCTGTCGTCCCCGGACCGGCGAGGACCCGCTCGGCCGGGGCGCAGGCGGCTGGGAAGGGGGCGCTGGCCCCGAGGCCGTGCAAGCGCGGCCACCAACCTGGGGTTGTCGGTGGAGGGCGAGTGCTGGCTCCCGGAGGACGCGACGCCCTTCGGGGCCGACGGGCCGCGCCCAGAGGCAGCCCTGGGAACGACCCATCCCTTTTCCAGCCCTGGGGTGGGACTGGGGTTGGAATGCGCTGCGCCCCCGTCTGCTGGCCTGCCCCCTGCCTGGGACGCGATGATGGCGGCCCTGTATCCGAGCACGGATCCCTCGGGCGCCTCCTCCTCCTCCTTGCTTTCTTCCCCATCCTCCTCTTCGTCGCTGAAGGAGGTGATGGCGCTAAAGGATGTGCGGGAGGTGAAGGAGGAAAACACTCTGAATGAGAAGCTGTTCTTGCTGGCGTGCGACAAGGGTGAGACCTCAGCCCCTTCCTCTGCTCCGGACGTCCTTGCTTTCCACACCCTTATCCTCTTCGCAGCCTCCACTTGGGGCCGCTCCTCCCTCTTTTCCCCCCTCCCCCCGCACACCTGCAGCTGGCCGGGGTCTCCTTTGGTGACGCCCTGTGTTTCGATGGTGGTGTGTGGGAGAGGACCCTACCTCTGCTACCGACCACCCGAGTGACCTGGTCTCCTTTTGGTTGGGGACTCCCGTCCTTTCTGTTTGGAAGCCCAAAGGGTTTGTCTAGTAAGAAAATTCCATGACCTTGCTTAAGGTGCCTCGTGTATATGGGCTCTCACCTGTTTTTTTTCCTTTTTATTAAAATCTTGCTTGTATTACAGTATTTAAGTTGAGCCACCCAGTGCCGTGGTGTTCAGTGACTGTGGACCGGAATTAGGTGTATCAGTATCTTAAGTGGAGACCAAGGCTGGACAGGGGAAATAGTCCCAGACTTTCTCCAAATTTACAGAACAACTCTGTGCTTTTTTATTAGGGAGGATGGTTTATCGTTCCTGAACCTTCTTTGAGAAATAAAGGTCATGCAAAATAATTACAGGGCAAAAATGTAGAATATGTTTTTCTTAAAAACAAAACAAAACAAGAGGTCCATCACTTTTATGGCCCTATAAAGTCTGTTCACTTGAGCTTGCTTTCTCTTTTGTCGCATATAATAAAAGGGATGGGAAACGTGTTCCCCTATGACTACTATTTCCTCTGTGTAAAAAAGTGCTGTAAAATTTCTTTTTCTAAACCTATTCAGATTGCCTTTGTTGACCTTAAAAATAAAAGTTATTTTACTGGCAAAAATGGGTTTATTGGGGAACAATAAAGAATTACAATTCAGGACAAGCAAGCTACAGTAAAAGCCATTGTCAAGTCCAACAATCAAACAAGAGGAAAGTTATTTTATGGAGAAGAGAAAAGTTGGGAAGGGTAGTTCTGAACAGAAGTTAATTGGAGAAAAGCTAGAGTTAAGGGTAATGATGGTTTTTCATTCGCTGAGTGGACAGGATGGTGGATTTCTTGTAGGAGAGGCAATGTGTATCTTTCAGATTGGGGCCTACCATTGGTGATTCTTTCCTGTTGAGCATTTATCTGTTGAGGTCTGTAATTGGTCAGTAATCTCTCCTCTAACTTGACCCCTGCTGGTACTGCATGTGAGCACCCCTTTCTAGCTTCCTGACACCATGTCAAATGAAGTTTCCCTTTATTAATCTTCACATCTTACAATGGCTCCTGCTCACTTAGGAACACTATGTGTAGCATCAGGCAGACTTCTAGGACATAAACACAAAGGGCAGCTTACACTGTGAAATGATTATCTACAGAGGATTATTTGTATGTGTGTGAGTGCTTTTTTTAAAATAACTAACAATCTCTCTAACTTCTCTTACTGCTTTTGTAATAGGATTTTATTTATACAACCTTTTGCAAACAATTGACATATAAAGTCCACCTATGTCAGCCACCTTTATGTTCTTATAGTATTATATTATGAAAATATTTGTTAAAGTCCACCATGGACACAACTTTGAATAGTCAGTCTTGGAAGTGTAAAGAAGCATAGACTATATATCTATAACCTCACAAAAATAATTGCCTGTGTGTTATATAAAATTGTTCATTATCACTGGAGTGGATTGTATTAGTTCTTTCCCCTAAACAAATTCCCTGAGAGGGGGAGGGAAGAGATTGTGTTGTACTAGAAGGAGTAAATCACTGGTGCATTTTCCCCAGATTACTGAGCTGCAGTTATTTTAAAGCAAACAGAAAGTTTGTCAAGAAAGGGAATTTAAAATGCCTGTCAAACTGAGTAATATGGTTTAAGTACCTGTGTGATATGTATATTTAAGATTATTGTATGACATATCTCAAAGAGAGTTTCAATATATGACAGTTTTGTAGCCAATCCAGTAGTGCCAGTTGAAATAGCTTGGCATCCTCTGTCAGTTTCCCATTTTATAACATCATCAAGATCCTTGGAGAGATTTGGCTTTTGTAATTATGCATGCTTTTCCCCCCATAGAATAAATAGGTATTTTCTGTTTCAGGAATGGTAAAATGAGATCTTGAGTTAGATTGGGAAAAATGGCTTATTTCTTACACTACGGTATACTTTTACATAGAAAAAAATAGATATGAATTATAGCAGTATCTTTTTTAACTTTTTGTTTTTTTAATTATTTTATTTTATTCTTTTTCTTTTTTAAAATATATTTTGATTATGCCATTACAGTTGTTCTATTCTCCCCTTTCATTCACCTCCACCCTGCACACCCCTCTCCCACCATTCCCTCCCCCTTTAGTTTATGACCACATGTCTCAAGTTCTTTAGATTCTATATTTCCCCTACTATTCTTACTCTCCCCCATATCTATTTTCTATCTACGGTCTATGCTACTTATTTTCTGTACCTTCTCCCCCCTTCTCCTTCTCCCACTGTCCTGTTGCTAACCCTTCATGTGATCTTCATTTTTCTGGCTCTGCTCCTGATCTAGCTGTCCTCTTAGTTTGCTTTTGTTTTAGGTGTGGTTGTTAATAACTGTGAGTTTGCTGTCCTTTCACTGTTCATCTTTTTTATCTTCTTTTTCGTAGATAAGTCCCTTTAACATTTCTTATAATAAGGGCTTGGTGATGATGAACTCCTTGAATTTGATCTTATCTGAGAAGCACTTTATCTGCCCTTCCATTCTAAATCTTGGTTGTAGGTCTTTGGATTTCATGACTTGGAATACCTCTTTCCAGCCCCTTCTTGCCTGTAAGGTCTCTTTTGAGAAATCAGCTGACAGTCTGATGGGAACTCCTTTGTAGGTGACTGTCCCCTTATCTCTTGCTGCTTCCAGAACTCTCTCCTTCATTTTAATCTTGGCTAATGTCATTATGATGTGCCTTGGTGTGTTCCTTCTTGGGTCCAACTTCTTTGGGACTCTCTGAGCTTCCTGGATTTCCTGGAAGTTTATTTCCTTTGCCAGATTGGGGAAGTTCTCTTTTATTATTTGTTAAAATAAGATTTCCACTTGCTCTTTCTCTTCCCCTTCTGGTACCCCTATAATTCGGATGTTGGAGCGTTTAAAGATGTACTGGAGGTTCCTTAGCCTCTCCTCATTTTTTTGAATTCTTGTTTCTTCATATTTTTCTGTTTGGTCATTTTTTTCTTCCTTCTGGTCTGCTCCCTTGATTTCAGTCCCAGTTTCCTTTCCATCACTATTGCTTTCCTGTGCATTTCCCTTCATTTCAATTAGTTTAGCCTTCATGTGTTCCTCTAATTTGTGGCTAAAATCAGCCAGTTCTGTGAGCATCCTGATCACCAGTGTTTTGAACTGTGCCTCTGATAGGTTGGCTATCTCTTGTTGGCTTAGATTTATGGGCTCTGGGCTATGAGTTCTTCTTGAGCCATGTTTTGACCTGTCTGCGCCTGTTACATATCTTTTTTTTTTTTTACCTTTTTGTATTCACTAATATTGTTAAATCTTTTTTAGTGTTACCCAAACCAAATCTGAAATGTGAAAATTTCTTTAAGTATCTACAGTTTTCACTATTACATTGGAGTTTTCATAAAACCAAATGAGAACTCTTTACTAAAACAGCTATTTGGGGGAGAGTTCATTTACTTTTCATAGATGATTTCTTTTAATCCTCACAAATCCATGAGCTATATATGTTGTTATCCCATTGAACAAATGAGGAAAATGAGGCTTAGCAGAACTTTAAAATTACTTCGTCTAAGGTTACATTGATTAGGAAGTAGTAGAACTTGGATCTATCTTGAGCCTTTTTTTAAAGGTTTATTTTATTCTCATTTGAGAGAGAAAGGGGAAGGGAGAGAGAGAAACGCTGGTTGGCCTCCTGCAAGCACCAAAACCAGGTGTCAAGCATGCCTCTTGGACATGTGCCCTGACTGGGAATTGAACTGGTGACTTTTTGGTGACAGGAGGATGCTCCAACTAACTGAACCACACTAGCCAGGGCTTAAGCATGTACTTTTTTAAAAAATATTTTATTTATTTTTAGAGAGGAGGAAAGGGAAGGAGAGAGAGAGGGAGAGAAACATCTATGTGAGAGAAGTACATTGATTGGCTGCCTTCAGTATGTGCCCCTACAGGGGATGGAACCTGTAACTCAGGCATGTGTCCTGAGAATTGGGAATTGAACTAGCAACCTTTCACTTTGTGGACTAAAGCCCAACCAACTGAGCCATGCTAGTCAGGGCAAGCCTGTACTCTTAACCATTATATTACATCGATCTAGTTTTAGATGAATGAATGAAAATCATTTGTGTTAGAAAAGGCACATTTGCATTTGGACTTAGTCATTGAAGATTAAACTTGCTATCTATGAATGTTTTATAAAACTTGATTTCTGTGGATTGAATTTATCCAATACAAGCAAAAAACTTTAATAGCACCAGAGCATGTATACTACAAAACATCTTTGTTTCTCATCCTTTTCATTTTGCAGCCTTACTCTACATGTACAAAATATTCATAATATATGATCCCGAGAAAGAATTCCTAAAGCAAAAATTGTGGAGATGAAGCGTTATGTGTCTGTCAGTGGATGGGTAGGTCTTTGAATGGTCAGCACAGATTAAGGAGTAAAGGAAAAAACTAGGGAAAAGAAAAGATTTTATACTTTTATTTTATAGTTTGTATAGGTAGATTTTATGTAAATGAGTTGAGTAGATCTATATAAGTGCTGGTCCAAGTAGTGGCCATTTAATAGTGGTTTTTACTAAATTTGAAAATGGGTCAGAAAATCATCTCAAATTCAACACTGATTCCTTTCTTTTAAAATATTTAGAAGACAAAGTGAATTGAAAGTTCTTGTATCAGTGATACAAAGTTAAATCTGGGCCTGCTCAAGTAAAATTCTCAGAAAGTTCACATGTCTTTTTAGACATAGAATGCTGCAATTCAAAGGCAAAGTTTAATTGAAACAACAACTGGCAAATGTGTTGTTTTATCAAATATTAAG